GAATGCACGCCAGGAAATGCTATTTCAGAGACCCAATGGGGACATGCCCCCAGCTTCAACCCCCCTAGCTAACTCGTGCCTGCGGTACTCTGCTCACACCTTCGGCGATCGCATACTATGCGGCGGGAGGGCAAGGAAAATGGACCCTTTGGCAGTTTTGCCCCACCACTGAAGAATCCTTAAAAAATGCACTGAAAATTCCACTACTATAAATTGCTAATATATCATAATCATAATCATATGGCAATGTTCGTTAGAAAATGTATGCATGAGGATAAAACGCGGATATGGTTAAAACACGTTTTTCGTGCCTTTATAAGACATGACTGACTCGGCACCAATGTAGAACTAAAATGGACAAAACTATCTTCAACGCTGTAGAAAGTTTCAAATATAATAACAATACATTCTAAAAGTGATTGGGTTTAATTAAATTACATTAATAATTGTTTGGAAAGTAAAAGAGTAATTGTTTGCAGCAGTAAAAGTATGATAGAGTTGGCTTCGCGAAGCATCCCAGAAAATACTAAGAGGAAGGCGATGTGGGCATACAGAATGTTCGACGCTTGGTCACAATGGCGCCAGGAGATCTCTCAAGATGGAAGGGAAATGCGTTTGGTTGATAAAATTCTCTTGGTTTACAAGTCAGAAATAAATATGATGCCAGAAGTTGACATCAACGAAGTATTACATCAGTTCATCGCAGAAGTAAGAAAAGACGGTGGAGAAAGGTATCCTGGAAAAACACTGTATGAAAAACTTTATACGTTGTAGTTAAATTAAAATGGAAATTTTTGTAGTGTAATTAAAATTTGCTTTAAAGCAAAGTTGTAACGCACAATGGTTTATTTTTTATTCAAGCGAAAAATCGGGGTCATTATTTTAAATATTGGAGGTCATTATTAAAAATAATAACCTCCTGACATTAAATAATGACGTTGCATTAACTTGCGCATGTCGATTCTTGAAAATAATAACCTGTTCAAAACAATGAAAATGTGCATTAAGACCGGCTATAATCACAATCATTCATTAAGCCATTATGGTTTTCACCTAAGAAATGCGAATGAAAAAAGGCTTGTGTATGAGCTTTGTTGGACATTGCTTTCCTTTGGCAAGATTTATAATTGTTCCATCGAAAGCGGAATTTATCTGTCGTCTGACCAACATATTGCTTCTTACACACTTTGCATGTCAAAAGATAAACCACACACTTTGAGTCACAGTTTAAATGATGGTTCACTTTGTATTGTTTACCAACAGCTGTGCACCTAAAAGTGTCGGTTTTGTGAATATTTTGACATGTCAAGCACCTGGGTTTATTACATTTCTTACATCCTTTCTCTCTTACTAATGGTGGTACCTTAGCTCTAACTAAATAACTTCTTAAATTACGGCTTGTTCTAAACGCCGTAAATGGTTCAGGGATAAATACTTTACGAGCTTCAGTGTCTAAGTACAAAATATGCAAATTTTTCTTAATTGCTAAACCAAAGTGCTTTAACAAAGGATGGAAAGCTATAGTTAAAGGCACTCCTGTCTTACAACTTTTTTCTCTAAGTATATTACTTTCCGCTTCAATATTGTATCCCTGACCCTCTTAAATTCTCTTTCTATGAGCCATGTTGGAACATGCATATTTTGTACTTAGACACTGAAGCTCGTAAAGTATTTACCCCTGAACCATTTACGGCGTTTAGAACAAGCCGTAATTTAAAAAGTTATTTAGTTAGAGCTAAGGTACCAACATTAGTAAGAGAGAAAGGATGTAAGAAATGTAATAAACCCAGGTGCTTGACATGTCAAAATATTCACGAAACCGACACTTTTAGGTGCACAGCTGATGGTAAACAATACAAAGTGAACCATCATTTAAACTGTGACTCAAAGTGGGTGGTTTATCTTTTGACATGCAAAGTGTGTAAGAAGCAATATGTTGGTCAGACGACAGATAAATTCCGCTTTCGATGGAACAATTATAAATCTTGCGAAAGGAAAGCAATGTCCAACAAAGCTCATACACAAGCCTTTTTTCATTCGCATTTCTTAGGTGAAAACCATAATGGCTTAATGAATGATTGTGATATAGTCATAATTGATAAAACCAACTCAGCAGAACCAACGATTAGGGAAATGTACTGGATTAATAGACTTATGACAATGTACCCCTCGGGGTTGAACATTGAACAGGATTCTGAGGAGTATGAATAATTATGTTCGTCTGGTAGGGTATACAGGGTGTCCCAAAAAACCCGAAAACTATTGAAATCACCAATAACAATTTAATCGTTAGAATTTAAATGCCTTAGCGCTCTGTTGGTTCCCACGAGTGCATAAATGATTGAAATAAGTAAATTTTATGCATAAAGAAACTGTTTAAGAAGCTGTTTTTAATTCCCAGGAGCACAAAATCGCGCACTTTACCAGGAGATATTCCTAACTAAATTCTAATACATGCACCTTGTCAATATTTTACGCATCATTACGTCCAACTGTTTGGTAGGGCATTCAAATTTAACAATAAGTGATTTCAATAGTTTTCGTTTTTTTGGGACACCCTGTATAAGTAGGGGTTTATGTTAACAATTTTTACTTGGAAGAAGACAATAAAGTCGAAACGTGAATATGTGTTAGTATATATATATATTTAATGCACATTTTCATTGTTTTGAACAGGTTATTATTTTCAAGAATCGACATGCGCAAGTTAATGCAACGTCATTATTTAATGTCAGGAGGTTATTATTTTTAATAATGACCTCCAATATTTAAAATAATGACCCCGATTTTTCGCTTGAATAAAAAATAAACCATTGTGCGTTACAACTTTGCTTTAAAGCAAATTTTAATTACACTACAAAAATTTCCATTTTAATTTAACTACAACGTATAAAGTTTTTCATACAGTGTTTTTCCAGGATACCTTTCTCCACCGTCTTTTCTTACTTCTGCGATGAACTGATGTAATACTTCGTTGAGGTCAACTTCTGGCATCATATTTATTTCTGACTTGTAAACCAAGAGAATTTTATCAACCAAACGCATTTCCCTTCCATCTTGAGAGATCTCCTGGCGCCATTGTGACCAAGCGTCGAACATTCTGTATGCCCACATCGCCTTCCTCTTAGTATTTTCTGGGATGCTTCGCGAAGCCAACTCTATCATACTTTTACTGCTGCAAATCTCAAACCGGTCAGACGTATTCTGTTGCTCTATTGCAAAATATAAATAAATTCAAATATTAATCGCTATGATTAATGCTTGTTACTAACTTTTAAACAAAACTTAGCTAAGACAATTTTCACCTTTTCTATCCAACGTGCTTTTCCCAGGTGCATTACATCGCCGCTCACTGACACTGTCTATCTGATTTGGTCTTTCCAGTGAAATTCTCCGCTCTGCAAACAAATCCAATGACTGGGAAAGTATTCCATCCAGCCCATCGTCTTCCAAATCTAGACAGTCGCAATCCCAATCATTGGTCTTTTCAACTTCAAATTCATCGTCATATCCTTCTCCAAACAAACTAAAATCTCGCTTTCTCGAACCAGACATCCTCACTCCACAAATATCAATCAAGTAATAAAAAGGTAGCTGTTGAAAAAACACAGCCCAGGAATGCGCATACAAAACACAAATATGGTGTGAAAAATAATAGTACCACAACAATGAACTTGTAACTATCTTAATAGTTTTCTTTGTTCATAAACACCATAATGTGCATTAAGTCGGATAATACCCTCGCTCTCGGTATTATTAAAAATAATGACCTCGCGCTACGCGCTCGGTCATTATTTTTAATAATACCTCGAACTTGGGCATTATCCTATACATATCAAGAGCCAGCCCCAAAAAATCTTCATTTATAAATATCAAGAAATCAAAAACTTCAAAGTAATTAAATTGTATTTTTTACGTTTCGGGGACAAGCCCCTTCTTCAGAATAACGCTACATCATCTCCGTCTCTTGCTTAAATAGTCTAACGTTTAGCTATACATAAATTAATTAAACCTCTTCCCTTAAATTAAGCCCTCGTGCGACATAACTAGTAAGTTTCTCAATCCAAACGCTCTCCCTCTCAGTGGGGTTATTAACGTGTATATATATATATATATATATATATATATATATATATATATATATATATATATATATATATATATATATATATCTATATATATATATATATATATGAAAAATGCTAAAATTGCAGCTAGGATTCATATTTATATATTAAAAGATTAAAAGTTTCTTGTCACTAGCTATGTAAAAAACGTAATCACGTTTATAAAAAGTTTTTACAAGACGTTTCGATCAGAAACCTCCGATCTTCGTCAGTTGATATTAAAAACTAAGAAGCCAATAAACAGGCCTCTATTTATACGGTTCGTTAGCTATTAATTTGGATGCATCAGTGACCCATAAACGTCTGGAATGTCAATATGGTCATTGCCAGAACTTTTCTCCACTTGGGAATACCAAGCCTCAAGGAACAATCGTTTGCGATAATTTTTCTCTCTACTAACTATTTCGGCGTTTTCAAAGTCCATATTATGGTCATATTGCTCAACGTGTTGGGCTATCTTGGAATTCTTATCATTATATTCAACAGCTCTTTTATGTTCTTTTATTCTCGTTTTCAATGCTCGGTTGGTTTGACCATAATAAGTAAAATCACAAGCGGAACATTCAATTTTATAAACGATGTCCCTTGTACGGTTGGTGTCTAGTTTATCTTTTGGCTTTGGAAATTCTTGCTGTAATGTGCGAGTTGGTTGGAATGAAACACGAATTTTCTCACGTTGTAATGTTCTTGTAATTCTTTCTGTAACGCCCTTTATATATGGTAGAACAACATAACTAGATGAAACTGTTGATTTTTGCGTTGCATTCACATTTTCGTGCGAACTATTTAATTCCTTGTTTTTGTTTCTCCTCCTGTTATATATATATATATATATACACTATACATGAATCACTACAGGCCATTTTATCCCGATCAATTTTTGCATGCTGAGATGCGAATACATGGTACTTTAAAAGTGACTTGCCCATCGTCTTCTGTTGTAACAAATTTCTTGAGTAAGTCCTCAGATTTGGTAGTTTCCACGTCCTGGCGAGTTGTAGCTTTGAACCATCTCTTGAATTCTTCAAATGATTCATATCGATAAGGGTAGATCGGTGCGTCTACCACAACATTGTTGAAGAGACCAACCTCTTGAAACATATCTCGATACCCCTCTTGGGTTAACGTATAAATTCCAATTTTCTCCACATTTCCATTGTCACCGGGAATCTTTGCGAGACAAAAGATGGCCAGTTCCCCCCCAGCTTTCAAACATCGATGTGCTTTCTGTATGTAATTCTTTTCTCATCATCAGGAACCCAGTGGTATGCGTTCGTGCTGATATGAACATCGTAATACGGCTCAGTATCGTGTGGAAATCCAATCACACTGCTGCCAACACAAAACTGAAGATTACCGACTTCTTTAGATTTCTCTTCAGCAATTTTGATTCGCTCAGCATCGGGATCGATTCCGACCGCCTGACCATCAGGGCCAACAATATCAGCGATATATTTAGTGAGATGGCCTGTGCCGCAACCCATGTCCAGCACTTTGTCTCCCAAGGAGAGGTTTAACTCACGGATAAATTGACTACCTGCTTCAATTTGTGGTCCACTGACTTCATCGTAGGATTTAGCATTCGCATCGGCCTCCATTTTCGCACAAGAAAATAACAATATGACGGCACTACTTAGGATAACTACTTATAGTCTAGATATAAATCACAAATATTTTATGCATGTACGGTTTTATTGTACTTAATTAGTGTCATATTTATGTAAAGTACTTGACATTCTTGACATTCTCGACAACAATTCAATATGACCGGCAGCATGTAGAATTCTCATAATCTGACCACAGCCTTCACAGACGCTATAACAAGCTACAATACGGCGATGAGTTTGAGTCTTCAACCTCACAAGGGGGAAAAAACAACGGCACAGCGACAGCGCAGGTAAAGGCCCTGTTAAACGGTGCAATTTTTCATGCAACGTCTCTCGCAATGTTTAAAAGAGATTTTGATAATGCATTGCAAGAGGTGTTAACGTTGCAATGATTTTCATGCAACTCCCAACGATATGATAGAGGCATGCGAAGAGACTAGGGAGAGGCGCTTTTGGCGCTAAATTTTAATTAAAGTAAAGCGTGTACTGGGGAGAGCCAATAGGAACTCTCCAAGTTTTAAACATTGCGAGACAAGTTGCACGAAGCCATGTTACACGCTGCTATGCTAAAAATAACAAGACGCCCGCTCGGCATTAACCTCGGGTCGGTGGATAGGGCATCGTCTGGTAAATATGCAAAAATCGTGTAAATCACGATAGTTTAATAGTTCACTAGTATAAATGGTGAATCAGTCAATCAGAGTTCCGTTTTAACATTATATTGATAATAGTTAAATACAGGAACAATTTAGAGAATTTACTGACGCAATTATTTAACTGTATTTATTCATTATTTGGGATATTTTGTGGACGAGTGAATGATATACATAGCTACTTCACTACTTCATCTTGTATTTAGTAACACTAATTACAGACAATATTATCAGTCTATTTGTTGATTGCACATAGCAAAACGACAGTCACTTCACATATTTTTAAAATATATCAACTGGTACCGAAAATATAATTAGGTGCATATAACTGATCCATCATTAGTAATAGTTGTACCACAGTCGAAGAATGTAATGAGTGGACAGTTGCCAAAATTGTTGTCTACCAGTTACAGTAAGAACCATCCATAAAATGCTTAGCAGTATCAAACAAGTGAAAGGTGGCCGCGGTATTCCCATGCTATGCATACGAAGTATTGTACATTATATCAACATATACTAGAGAATAGTTATCCAGCCAAACATGTATGTCAAAATTATCACATCTTCTGGTTTTAAACCCGACAATTTTAACGGATTTTGTGCAAGGACAGCTTCGAGTGCCGTTCCGCTTTGGCCGATGCTAGAAATTGCCCGGAAGTACACTTATTTACCGGAAGTTGTCGTCTCCTCCGCAGGCTCTTCGACTACGCGCGCGGCTCGACACAAAATGGGGAAAAATAGGAGCCGAATTTATGACCTCGGTGTCGTACCGACCCGAGGTAATTAGTGCAATCGTTGCCAAAAGTAGAACCGACTTCTACTCTGTGCAATGCTTCATCCAACTTGTCTCGCAAAGATTTTGACCATTGCAACTTGTCTCGCAACGCCATTGCGAGACAAGTTGCATGAAAAATTGCACTGTGTAACAGGGCCTTAAAGTGAAAACATTTATACATACTTTTAAATATGAACAAGACGCCTGCTCAGGCGTTAACACTGGCCTGATAATGGCACCTTTCGTGGCAGGGTGTAATGTGTAGTAGAGAAGTAAATAGGGATACAGGAGGTCTGGACCATATAAATACAACCAACAAATACATTAATGATCAGCAACTATCAACCATATTATACTGACCAAGACGCCGGCTCAGGCGCACCCTCCGGCTATGGGCAACTCAACCTGGCAAGCCAGGCCCACTGTAACTGTCATCAACTATCAACCGTAAATAATGATGGGCCAATAATAGCGAAGAAATTATATTATAGTCCTTGATTTGTAATGCCATTATATGGCTCATTTCAGGTGCTAAACAGTTCATAGACATAGACGATTCTTCTAAAAAATATGCCAATTTGCTTCCATTTATAAGATAAACTGATCCCAACCCGAAGCCCTTCTCTAGCCCCAACCCCCAGTAAGAATCTAATAAACAATTTGAGAATTAAAAAAGTGTGTGGGGGAGTTGGGTCTTGTTCCAAAAACAAATCGAACAGTACCACGTTTCACTTCGCCGCACGCAATGCCACCTCGCTGAATACAATCGAAAACATACATTTTATAGTATAAATATATGATGAATTGGAAAGTAATTTGGTGCAAATTAATGTAATTAGGTGCAAATCTATAATTATGCAAATGAATACAAGAGCACAACACATGTTTATGAGCCTACAATGTATATTTATACTTGTTAATTAAAAAGTCAAACTGTTAAACCGCTTTAACTTGTCCTTGTTTATATTCCACTATATTGTATAAATTCGCTAGGGTCCAAATTTTGGGGTTTTCGAGTCGTTACACAAAGAAAAACACACTAATTCAACACGCAAGAAAGGCCAGAGTGCGACACAACGTAAAATCCATAGGAAACCGGCACAATTCTTTGAAAATTCAACGAAACTGTATGAAATATATATTAGATCGCTCAGTGAAAAGCCGCCATTTTTAAACTGAACTGAATATGACACGGGAGCACGTTGCACCCTGAGCCTGCGATGACCTAACGCAAACTCGATTTCTCGACTACAAAAAAAACCCAGAAAAAGAAGGGTTTAAGACACTTGGCCTACAGGCCAGTGTAATAATTTTACGGCTCGATAAACTATAAAGAATAAATACAAATTAATGTGAAATATTGGAGAATGCATGAGAACTGAATTATTCTCCAATATTTCATGTTAATTTGTATAACTTTTTACAGGGGCAGTCAAGTCCGTTCTGCTCATGTGCGTGTTTTGTTTAAATATTTTGTTTCAAACAATAGATAATTTAATTAAAATTTCCATCTGTGATTTAATTAAAATTCCGATCTGTGGACCCACAGATCGGAATTGCATGCGTAACATTACTAAAATCTGTATTGCGAACGTGATGCCAAGTGTTCCGAATGTTGTCAAAAACTCAAAATGGAAGCGATTTCGATGTTTTGCCTTTTCTATGAAAATGCAAATGGAATAATGAACGTGACAACCTAAAAACTAGAAATAATTATAGTCTACATGTGCAAGAAGTAGTATTATGCAAGAAAATAAACCAAAGGTGACTGTCGATAAATTTAGGGACCATTCATTATTTATGACCGGGGATGGGTTCGCAAAATTCAATTAACAACTGAACAAAATGTCCTGCCCCACCCCCTGCATCACAAAAATATTCGATGACCCCCTTCACATGAATTCTAAAAAAATAGTAACCCCTCCCCCCCACCACAAGTAAAAAAATAACTGAGAGTGCACTGGGGTGCAATGGGTTAACTAGAGACATTGTCAGATTTTTTGGTTAACTCATTAAGCTGCAGAGCGCCGAAGAGGCTGAAGGTGGGGGTCATACCATTTTTCGCTGCTAAGAGTGTAGTAAAAAGTTGTTCAAAAAAGAAAAAGGGTAATTTATCGGGGTAATACAGTGCTGTAGGAAGTGCTTTTTCATTGGGGAGCTGAATTTTAAATTTAGAGACTCTGAAATGCCATTTCCTGGACTTTAGGGAAGATTTGACAGAATTGTGATGGTCAGAAAATTGCATTTTAGTATGTCAAAATTTACAATTTAGTAGCACTAAATGGGCGAAGGCGTATTTAATTAACCATATATTGGATAAGTTGCAGGAAAGTATGAGAAATATCTTCATTCTTTGCAGTTTCTCATGGATAATGTAGCCGCTTAAAATTAATCAATTGTCAGTATTTTAAAGGTATATTATTTAAATGATAAATAAAGGTCTGCATATTTTAGAAAAAGAATGATTATTAGCAAGCTGCGGCCCTGGGTTAGGAGTAGGGTTAGGGTACTACGTCAATGAACTACAAAGACCGCTAAACAGCTAGTGACTCAGACATTTGACTTGGGCTCGGATGTAACTCGGATTTGACATGGTAAATCGACAAACTCCTTACTAAATTAAACCATGTATAAAATACCCAGTATAAACTAGTGTATATAGTATATGCCAAACTTTCCCTGGACGTAATGTTGCTACATCTCTTACTCGTTAATTATCTTTTTTATTAAAATGTACATAATTGAAATATGACAAAAATTTATGGCTAGTTCATGGCAAAAGTTATAAGGTAGATGTTCGATTATTTTTCATATTGGCTGTACGCATTGCATTTTGGGTATTTGTGCATTGCATTTTGGGTCTATCTGATGATTAAAATTGAGAATTTTGCTAGCTAAACATGCATAAATTAAATTTGCTGCCTTGCTCGTTCCTTGTGTCAGCAATAATCGTTACATGTCAAATTTTCCCCACTATAATAAATAACTGGACCCCTCCTTTTCAATCAATATTTTTAAGTGGCCCCCCTTTTTCAGTCAAAAATACCTCATGATCCACCCCTTTTTTTGCCAGCCCACCCCCAGTCATAAATAATGAATGGTCCCTTATTGTATAAAACGTTCTTTAACTGAACCATACAAAGATATTTTTCGTAGGTTCATATGATCCACATTTTTGTCAATAACTTTTTTGCGTAGCATGTATAATTTTTACGTTGACTGTATTTAAGGGTAATGATTTACTTTACAATTTAATCGTGTGAAAATGCTTAACTATATTCGATAGTTAAGTTTGGTATTCGACATTTTTTCAAGAAATGTTCACACGCCGGTTTTAAATTTTTAATTTAATTTAAATTCTGTTTCTTTTTAGATTTTAAATGTTAGAAAACTTTTTATTAATGTCTAAACTACCCGTCTAGTGTATTTTTTTTGTTTGTTTCAATTACCTTAAATAATTAAATAGCCATGTTTTTGTTTACACTTTGGCATTTAAATTTCTCGCCATCTTGTTTGTGCCCCACGCATGCGCAGACGTTTTTTAGCGGTGTTTCTAAAAATATGTATAAATGTTTTCACTTTGTTTTCCACTTATTTAAGTGACATGTTCGCCAAGTGTGAAAAAGTATTTTTCTTTATTTTAATCAAATATCTTTACAGCTGGATTATTCTAAGGAAATTTTATAACCATGCACAAAAGTGCGAAACACAACTAAATTTATATAATACGACATACTAGAAAACGTTCTGACTGCCCTGCATGAGTGCATGTGCTCTGGTTCTGCAACTTATAGCTTATCCCAGGCATGTCACCAATTATATGCAGGCAAATGAACCAAAATCACTGCTAATGAGCCCAATTAATAATCTTCATATTCTATTTCATGCACAAATGTACACATTTTCACATATTTTTTGAATCGCATGCAAAACACCAAGCAATATTGCTCAAGATCTAGTCTTTCACACTCGTGAAATAGCTTAATCTATAACTGTTAAAGATTAATCTACAAATCTCTCGGCAGCAGTTTAACCATACAAAGATGTGACAAAAAAGTGATTTTCTTGAACAACGACCCTCTGAAACATTAGTAAATGATACTGAATCAAGAGGTCGAAAAACAGTAGCCAAGCTCTCAGATTGCAATAATTTTGAGTTTAATATTTTCACCCTGTATATTCCCAGTAAAAACAGAAAGCCATTGTATGCAAATTAGTATACAAGCAGTCAGTGGCGTAACTACTATGGGCTCAGACCGGGAGAACCCGGGGGCCCCCAACCCAAATGGGGGCCCCCAGGCTTAGGCGATAGAGCAAAAACATTGGCCAGGGCTTCTGATATGTTACAATGTCGTTTTATGACGATCAGAACTTCTGTAAAATCTCTCCCCAAAGTCCAGGAAATGGCATTTCAGAGAGTCTAGATTCAAAAATTTTCCGGATGAGCATGCCCTGGACCCCCTAGAAAACTCGTGCATATACGGCGCTCGATTCGTGCTTTTGGCACTTCTACTAGGGGGGCCTTTGAAAATTTTGAACCGGGGGCCCCCTGATATAACGTTACGCCACTGCAAGCAGTGGTCATTTTGTCAAGACCTACCTAAAATGCTCATGTTTTGTGATTGGCTTTCCGAAACAAAACTGATCATTGTTCTTGACTCGTGCTTTAGAAAGACGATTTCTATAGTTTTATTATCTTTCAATGTTACAATCAACGAACCACGAAGCTGGATAGTTTAGGCAGATGATGACCCATTTTGTCGCCAATTTCTGGTAGTGAACAATATCGCATTTTATCACTGCACATAATCTAAATAATTTATCACTGCATGCACAAATCGGTTATCACTGAATAATCCCTGTTTCTTTTTTCGATGTTCGCCAAATGTAAAAAAAATGGATATATTTAATAACCAAATTACGTGTCGGCTGCTAATTTGATTGTTTCATACAACCAAATTAAATCAGATAAAAAGTGATAACATTTACGGTAAATAATAAATTCACAATCGGCGCCCCATGTTCGGCAGTCATCGATTTGCTATCGTAAACTCTTGGGGTACGATAATGCTTCAATATAAATTCCTTACTGTACGTCATAATTTGACGTCACAACTGCCGACAAACACTTGCAAGCTGCTCAATTTACTGTTCGGAGTACTCCGGATTTTCGGAACACTAATGGAATGGAACAGAAGACAGTCACATGACTGTTCTGAACTGTTCTGGAGGCTGCTCCATTTACTGTTCGGAGTACTCCGGATTTTCGGAACACTGATTGAATCGGACCGAAAAGGGTCACATGACTGTTCTGACTGCCTCTACACAAAAGTAGGGGCAGCCAGAACAGTTATGTGACCATTATTGGTTCATTTAGACTGTCTACATACATGGAGCCTCAGTTCGGGATTAGATTTCAATGCGCGGAAATGCAAAGTATTGCATATTTCAAAGAAAAGGTTAACACGGAAATGAATAGAAATTACAGTCTTGGTGACCAACCGATTGAGTGTGTGCCTTCATTTGTCGACCTCGGGATTACTATATCTCACAATTTATCCTTGGCAGATCATATTGAGAAAATTGTTGTTAAAGCTAACGGGACCCTAGGGCTAATGAAAAGGATTTTCCGTGATTTGCAAGATATACAAACTAGAAAAATAATATACTGTGCTCTTGTACGACCCAAGCTGGAATATGGTATAGTAGTCTTTGGTCGCCTTGCACCAAGAAATACGCGAAATTAATTGAAAATGTCCAGAGAAGAGCTACCAAGTTTATTCTAAACTATCCTGAAGATATGAAGTATATTGATAGATTGATCAAACTAGACTTATTGCCTTTAGAACACCGTAGACAAATTTCAGACTTAACATTTTTTTTAAATCGAGAAATGACTTGGTAACCACCGACATTAATAAATTTTTGACAGTGTTTGAGCACGGGTATCGAACACGTAATTATGACATAAATAACTATAATCTAATTATAGACTTATTATAATTATAGACTTTCGGAGAATATTTTAGCTGTTTACTATAAAATATGTTTGTGAAACAGTTGATAATCTTACTGAGGAAGGCCAACGGTTTCTGAAAAACTTAAGTACGTCGAAATCAGCTTTGGAATAGACTATATTTTCCACCGGGGAAACATGAACTAAATGATATTTACGGCAACACTACATCAAAACAGATGTTAAGAAGTAAGTGAAATGTGTATTTCGTGAATTATACTTTCATTAACGTGTGACAGAGCTGTCAGTGTACCCATATTTCCGAATGTTTATGTTGAAATGACCTATCTTCTTTGAAACTTATTCTATGTTGTTCTAACAAAAACAGTTTTGTTTTTGACCTGCATATTTAATTTTAAAATTACCTTTCATTCTTTGTTAAAATGTGTACCAAGAATACTGAAATCTTTCAGATCAGCTATAACCGAGGCTATAACATTACATTTAATACATAGCATATTACAACTATCTATTTCTGTTCAGATTAAACAAATGATGGGAAATATTAGATTAGATATTTTTAAAAAATGAGCTTGCTTGTTTTCAAAACACAAAAAGCAATGAAATAAAGCAAAAGTACTTATTTTTAATTTAAAACCTTTGGAATGCATCGTAGCTTAATGAATAATGTTTTCCACATTGCGAAAATGGAGGCCGATGCGAGTGCTAAATTCTACAACGAACTCAGTGGACCACAAATCGAAGCAGGTAGTCAATTTATCCGTGAGTTAAACCTCTCTTTGGGAGACAAAGTGCTTGACATGGGTTGTGGTATACAGGCCATCTCTCTAAATATATCGCTGATATTGTTGGCCCTGATGGTCAGGCTGTTGGAATCGATCCCGATGCTGAGCGAATCAAACTTGCTGAAGAGAACTTTGGGGACTGATTGTACCGTGCCAAAATACAAGTATACACTATTTCAGAAATTCACAAGGCATTTTTTAATACCATGGACTGGTGGGGCATTTGCCCCACTGGGCCCCTTCCTCTGCCCCACCACTGAAGAAAAAAATGGCCTATTGCCCCAAAGCCAGAAGAAGTTTAAAGACCTTTAAAAAACAAAATTTGTTGGTGAGAATAGTGCATACTTAAACTTATGTTATGTTTGAATGTTTAGCATGCAATTTATTACAAATTTCACCATTAAAACTTTGTTTTGAGAAGCTGAGATTTTTTTAAATGTGTTCTTAGAATGCACGCCAGGAAATGCTATTTCAGAGACCCAATGGGGACATGCCCCCAGCTTCAACCCCCCTAGCTAACTCGTGCCTGCGGTACTCTGCTCACACCTTCGGCGATCGCATACTATGCTGGGGGAGGGCAAGGAAAATGGACCCTTTGGCAGTTTTGCCCCTCCACTGAAGAATCCTTAAAAAATGCACTGAAAATTCCACTACTATAAATTGCTAATATATCATAACCATAATCATATGGCAATGTTCGTTAAAAAATGTATGCATGAGGATAAAGCGCGGATATGGTTAAAACACGTTTTTCGTGCCTTTATAAGACATGACTGACTCGGCACCAATGTAGAACTAAAATGGACAAAACCATCTTCAACGCCGTAGAAAGTTTCAAATATAATAATAATACATTCTAAAAGTGATTGGGTTTAATTAGATTACATTAATAATTGTTTGGAAAGTAAAAGAGTAATTAAACATACACTATCAATTAACCAGTTGGGGGGAGTTGAAGAGCAGGTCTTAGCCTGCGTAACAGGCGTTTAATGCGGGCGGGAGAAGAGACTAGGGCGTCGTCGAGAAAACATCTGCCAAAATGGCTATGACAAATGTGTTTTCGCCCATTAAAGGTAATTGACGTTTTATAATTAGCATGCACCTTCACCGGTTTACCCATTATCAAATCATAGTCGAGATTTATATTTAGCATCATGCCTGCTTTTTGCTCGGCAACTTGGGAGATTTTTGATATGCTAATTTAGAGAACCAGGGCTGTACCTAGCGCAATAATTAGGGGGGGGGGTATATTCATTTATTCGTGTTCTGCCCGACGGATTTCTTTTGAAAGCGATTGCTTTTACGGTGTGTGAACATGAATATATGAATATACCCCCGCCCCCCCTCCCCCAATTATCGCGTCCAGGAACGGCCCTGTAGAGAACACAGAGCTTTTATCCTTTAATTTAAAAGCTCCTGAACCACGGTTGTTTAACATATTCTGCCGTAGCAAATAACAGTTGAGCATGGTTTGAAATGTTATTCTTAAAACCATTACCCAACTTCATAGCTGCAATGCAAGCCAAGTGATGTAGCCTCAGCTATCTGGTCTTGAATTATACTTTCAAGAGGACAATTTTTTCCGTATCCCGTAGCGGCGTAGGAAGAATCGCGATAACGTCTTTACCACGTAGCAAATTAATAATATACTTTCTCTGTTCTGGCTTCAACTGAATTTCCAAACCTAAAATACTTGAAATATCAGAAACAGTTTCCTTCATAACATTTATAACATCCATATTTTTATGAGAATATATACGCGGGCAAAATTATTGATGACATTTGAGTTACGTTATTACTTCCGTCAACGAGATTGACCAATAAGAATTAAGCCGACGTTTTTTCGGTAAAACATATTTGTCATAGCCATTTGCATAGGCGTACGGGACGGGGGAGGGGCAGGGGGCAGGTACCCCCCAAAAAGATTAGAAAGTCGAAAAGTCGGACAAATGTTCAACAAAAGTCAGGCAAAAGTCGGGCAAAAAGTAGTCGAAGCAATAAAATCTCTCTTAATAATAACCCCAGTTTGTTGAGCAAACAAAGCCAGTTGGGCAATATTCGCTTCACAGTCGGGCAATATTGGGTTATTATAAAAATAAATGGGACAAATTCTGTCAATTTTGCGGGAAATTATGTCAATTTTGTGATATTTGGAAAAATTTGTTTGATGGTCCGAAAAATTTTGGTATGTCCGAAAAATTTTTGGACCCCTAAAATGGTACACTGACCGAAATTATTTTGGCGACGGGGAAGGGGTGTGTGGTCGCCAAAATTAATTGTTCCGGAAAAAAAATTTTTCGGGACTGGTCGGCACAATCCGAAAAAGTCGGGCAAATTTCTTTCCGCCCCCCCCCTAATTTTTTCCTTCCGGTACGCCCATGGCCATTTGGGAAGGCGTTCCCTCGACGACGCCCTCTTTTCTCCCGCCCGCACTAAACGCCTGCTACGCAGGCTAAGTAGGCCTCTATAGCTTAATGGTTCGTGTCATACAGACATATAACCTTTCTTAGCTTCCTCTGTTCCAATACTATATCACTATAAACTATATATTCACTCTGCAATTTAATTATCAATCATCCTTGGAATATTCAAATTGACCAAACAGGCACTTTAACAACACTATAATCGCTTTTACTACCGTTCAGTGTTACGGATTGACGTTTACGACAGACCGCTATAGGCCCGTTTTATACGTCGAATTTTGAATGAATGCAATGAAGACAATAGATAATGAAGTTTAATGAGGATTATCATCTCATTATCTATTGTCTTAATTGCATTCGATGCGACCAAAATCCGACGTATAAAACAGGCCTAACCGCAAACGGTAATCTTCAAATCGCATTTGAAGGTACGTTCTACAAGTTTTCGACAGTCAGAGGCGCCGGAATATCGATAATTGCGGGGGCAGATATTCATATATTCGTGTTCACAGACTGTAAAAACAATCGATTTCAAAAGAAATTAATTGGGCAGAACACGAATATATGAATATCTGCCCCCCCCCCAATTATCGATATTCCGGCGCCTCTGTCGACAGTAGCTAATTCATGCTTCAATTTGAGTCACAAAAATTAAATTTCCTAATTAACTTGGAACAACTAACAGTTGACCTCAAAATACGTCTGTCATAATAGATTGACGTTTATGGCAAACGTAGCAATGATTTAAGAAAGCAAATTAACCACTAGTCACGTATTCACCAAAGCAGTAATTTAGGCCTGTTTTATACGTCGAATTTTGGTCGCGTCAAATGCAATTAAGACAATAGATAATGAGATGATAAACCTTATTAATTAAGCTTCATTATCTATTGTCATTTGAATTGCATTCGACGCTACCGAAATTCAACGTATAAAACCGGCCTAAGATCTGGCGTTTGAAGTTGACGTTTGGCGTATAAATTTTATGCTTGAACTGCTAGGAAGGCTTGTAGTCGTTAAAGTATGAAATTTATACGTCAAACGTAACCTTCAAACGCTAAATCTTAGTTTACTGCCTTGGTGAATATATGATTAGTGGTTAATTTGTTTTCTTGAATCATTGTTATAAATACTACAAGTTTAATTAATATATTTCAAAAGTGGTGTAAAAGCTATTATATATAATAGGGTTGTAAAATCAAAAACTTCGTTTGCGGTTTGACGTTTGCCGTAAACGTCAATCTAAGGGTTTCTAACGTCAATCTGTAACTCTCTTCCATATACCACTGAAACTTACATGGAATTTGGCCGCGTCTGAGCAATAGCTTATTACATTAGTCGAAAGCATATTTACTTCACTGGCAAAAGTTGTCTAGGCTACTATAGGTACATGCAATGCAGGGACATATATACTGTACATGAATCACTGCAGGCCATTTTATCCCGATCAATCTTTGCATGCTGTGATGCGAATACATGGTACTTTACAAGTGACTTGCCCATCGTCTTCTGTGGTAACAAATTTCTTAAGTAAGTCCTCTGATTTGGTAGTTTCCAGGTCCTGGCGAGTTGTAGCTTTGAACCATCTCTTGAATTCTTCAAATGATTCATATCGATATGGGTAGATCGGTGCATCTACCACAACATTGTTGAAGAGACCCACCTCTTGAAACATATCTCGATGGCCCTCTTGGGTTAACGTATAAACTCCAATTTTCTTCTCATTGCCATTGCCATTGGGCGTCTTTGCGACACACCAGATGGCCAGTTTTCCCCCAGCTTTCAAACATCGATGTGCTTTCTGTATGTAAATTATTTTCTCATCATCAGGAACCCAGTGGTATGCATTCGTGCTGATATGAACATCGTAATACGGTTCAGTGTCGTGTGGAAATCCAATCACACTGCTGCCAACACAGAACTGAAGATTACCGACTTCTTTAGATTTCTCTTCAGCAATTTTGATTCGCTCGGCATCGGGATCGATTCCGACCGCCTGACCATTAGGGCCAACAATATCAGCGATATATTTAGTGAGATGGCCTGTGCCGCAACCCATGTCAAGCACTTTGTCTCCCAAGGAGAGGTTTAACTCACGGATAAATTGACTACCTGCTTCGATTTGTGGTCCACTGACTTCGTCGTAGGATTTAGCATTCGCATCGGCCTCCATTTTCGCACAAGAAAATAACAATATGGCAGCACTACTTATAGTCTAGATATAAATCACAAACATTTCATGCATGTACGGTTTTATTGTACTTAATTAGTATCATATTTATGTAAAGTACTTGGCATTTTCGACATTCTCGACAACAATTCAATATGGCGGGCAGCATGTAGAATTCTCATAATCTGACCACAGCCTTCACAGACGCTATAACAAGCTACAATCCTGGACAAAAGTCCTTGGTACACCCAAAATTTTCGCATATTTTTATTGTTCTCTTCAGAGAGAGCCGATTTAACGCAAGGTATGCTTTTAAACCGAACTCCCCTCCTCTTCCCCGTTCAATGTTGATTTTGGGGGCATCCCTAACTGAAATTTTATGAACATTCAACATTGAATTGGGGTTGGGGAGGGGAGGGGAGGGGAGGGGAGAGGAGAGGAGTGGAGGGAAGGGATGGGAAGGGGAGGGGAGGGGGCGTTGTCTTTGGAATTCAAGGGTAGAAGTCCGTTCTGCTCATGCGCGTGTTTTGTTTAAATTTTTTGTTTCAAACAATAGATAATTTAATTAAAATTTCCATCTGTGATTTAACTAATATTCCGATCTGTTGACCTACAGATCGGAATTTTAATTAAATTATCTGTTGTTTGAAACAAAAAATTAAACAAAACACGCGCATGAGCAGAACGGGCTTGACAGCCTCTTTAAAGGGCAATTGCTAGATAGTATACTTCAAAATAAGATTTCCGTTTTTATTCTATTTTTAAAATAATTAGGGTTAGGTTAGGGTTTAGGTTAGAGTTAGGTTGGGGTTAGGGTTAGGGTTAGGTTTAGTATTAGGGTTAGGGTTTAGTTTTGCATTAGGATAGTTTTTTCTTCGTTATAAAAACGGAAACCTTATTTTGAAGTATACTATCTAGCAATCACCCTCTTTAAAGGTGATCTACAGTCCGATCTGCACATGTGCACAAATGAGCCCACTTTTTATGATACAAACAGTTTAACTATGTTTTGAGTTCTTGAAAAGCCTAATTGTTGTTTCTTGATCATATATTATACTCTAGAAGCTTGAAAATATAAATAGTTGTCGAATAAAGCTCAATATTTTGGACACAAAAATGTAAACAAAGGCTTTGTTTACATACGGACTGTAGATCACCTTTAAGATATCTAAAAATATGTATAAATGTTATCACTTTGTTTTTCACTTATTTAAGTGACATGTTCGCCAAGTGTGAAAAAGTATTTTTCTTTATTTTAATCAAATATCTTTACAGCCGGATTATTCTAAGGAAATTTTATCACTGCACAAAAGTGCGAAATTAAACATGACTAAATTTATATAATACGACATACTAGAAAACGTTCTGACAGCCCTGCATGAGTGCATGTGCTCTGGTTCTGCAACTTAAAGTTTATCCCAGGCATGTCACTAATTATATGCAGGCAAATGAGCCAAAATCACTGCTAATAAGCCCAAATCTGCATATTCTATTTCATGCAAAATGTACACATTTTCACATATTTTTTGAATCGCATGCAAAACATCAAGCAGCATTGCTCAAGATCTAGTCTTTCACACTCGTGAAATAGATTAATCTATAAACTGTTTATTGTGTCACCAAACAGCATCAAAAATCTGAAAACAAAATCTCTCGGGCACCTTGTCAATATTTTATGCATCATTACGTCCAGCTGTTTGGTAAGGCATTCAAATTTAACAATAAGTGATTTCAATAGTTTTCGTTTTTTTTGGGACACCCTGTAGAACATACACACGGTGTTCTTGAGCAGTGTTAAGTTTATTATATATGCGTGCAACCATGCATTACTATATTATTTAGTTATTCGCATAATTAAAGCGTATAATGATTCGCTGTTATTTGTATATCTAAGTATGCTTTTGCAACGTTTTTACTCGTTGATTTTTCCCAACCCTGGCGTTCAAATAGCATATAATAAGTATATGTCGAAATATAGCGGTTAACATTTCAAAATAAGGCTTTATACAGTGTGCATTGGATACACAAAATATGTCGCCTCCATTTCCAATCACGTGAAAATAGGCAGTGTCACGTGTCTGTTCTGGCTACCCCTACTCGAAAATTGGGGTAGTCAGAACAGTTCAGATCAGTCATGTGACTCTCTTCTGTTCCATTCATTAGTGTTCTGAAAATCCGGAGTATTCCGAACAGTAAATGGAGCAGCTTGCAGGAGTTTACGATAGCAAATCGATGACTGCTGAACATGGGGCGCCGATTGTGAATTTATTATTTACCGTAAATGTTATCACTTTTTATCTGATTTATTTGGTTGTATGAAATAACCAGATTAGCAGACGACACGTAATTTGGTTATATTAAATATATCCAATTTTTTTAACACTTGGCGAACATCGAAAAAAAACACAGGGATTATTCTAAGGTGCAGTGATAGCCAATTTGTGCAGTGATAAATGAGATTTGTGCAGTGATAAATTAGATTATGTGCAGTGATAAAATGCGATATTGTTCACTACCATATCTACCTATACTATCCAGCCTCGTGGTTGGTTGATTATAACAATGAAAGACAATAAAACTATAGAAATCGTCTTTCTAAAGAACCAGTCAAGAACAATGATCAGTTTTGTTTCGGAAAGCCAATCACAAAACATGAGCATTTTAGGTAGGTCTTGACAAAATGACCACTGCTTAGTGCTTATATACTAATTTGCATATAATCCCCATACAATGGCTTTCTGTTTTTACTGGGAATATACAGGGTGAAAATATTTAACTCAAAATTATTGCAATCTGAGAGCTCGGCTACTGTTTGCCGACCTCTTGATTAATATCATTTACTAAAGTTTCAGAGGGTCGTTGTTCAAAGTTCAAGAAACGTTCAAAGTTCACTTTTATGTCATCTTTGTATGGTTAAACTGCTGGGTAAAGTGCGCGATTTTCTGCTCCTGGGAATTAAAAACAGCTTCTTAAACAGTTTCTTTATGCATAAAATTTACTTATGTCAATCATTTATGCACTCGTGGGAACCAACAGAGCGCTAAGGCATTCAAATTCTAACAATTAAATTGTTATTGGTGATTTCAATAGTTTTCGTTTTTTTTGGGACACCCTGTAGAACAGTAAATGGAGCAGCCTGCTGGGGTACGATAATGCTTCAATGTAAATTCCTTACTGCTACGTCATAATTTGAAGTCATAACTTCCGACAAACACTTGCAAGCTGCTCTATTTATAGCCTACGGTGTAGAGTTTCTGCTGGGGTCTACACCGTAGGCTACTCTATTTAGTGTTCGGAGTACTCCAGATTTTCGGAACACTAATGGAATGGAACAGAAGACAGTCACATGACTGTTCTGAACTGTTCTGGAGGCTGCTCCATTTACTGTTCGGAGTACTCCGGATTTTCGGAACATCAATTGAATCGAACCGAAAAGGGTCACATGACTGTTCTGACTGCCTCTACTCAAAAGTAGGGGCAGCCAGAACAGTCATGTGACCGTCAGAACAGTCATGTGACCATTACTGGTTCAATTTAATTAGTGTTCCGAAAACCGAAGTACTCCGAACAGTAAAAGGAGCAGCCTCCTGACTACCCCGATTTTCGAGTAGGGGCAGCCAGAATAGACGCGTGACACTGCCTATTTTCACGTGATTGGAAATAGAGGCGACAGATTTTGTGCACACACGTAAAAACGCACAAGTTGTAACAAGTCTGCAAACAAGTTGTTACACGTCTGTTCACAAGCTGTCAACAAGTTGTGCTCGCACTGCTTGTTCCCAGTTTGTTGTAACAAGTTTGAAACAAGCTGTTAACAACTTGAAACAAGCTTGATGGCATTATCAGCCTTGCTACAAGATTGTGCTAACAAGTTTGTTACAGCCATGATATAACAAGGATGTTACAGACGTTACAAGGTTGTCAACACAATTTAAGGTTGTAACACTAATCTTGTTTATATCACGCATGTCGCAGACTTGTCAGAACAATTAACCTTGCAACAAGTATGATAATTTCGACAAGGTTGTTACAAGTTGTCAACAAGTTGTTCCAAACATGTTGACAACTTGTGACAAGCAGTGCGAATACATCTTGTTAACAGCTTGTGAACAGCCTTGTAACAAACTTGTGCGTTTTTACGTGTGTACCGTCTTCGCTAGATGTTATTCCAGTGGTGGCAATTGATACACCAGGAGGAAATCTTAGTTTAATTAAAGATAAAGAGCAGAGCCCAGCAAATAACTTTAAATCCAAACATAATAAAAGCAAAAAAAACTTATTAGAATTAAAAATTAATAAAAAATATTAAAAATTATTATTAATTATTAAATTTATTAAAAATTTATTTATTTTTTTTCATTGCCCTGAGATCACATGTTGTGTATCAGTTCACGTGTCAATGCTGTAGCGCATTGTATGTTGGCCAAACACGCCGACACATTCACACACGTATCTCAGAGCATGTGGGAGTCTCGCCTTTGACTGGAAAAGAACGCTCTATCTCAACCATGTCTAGTATACTCGCTCACAAACACATGCACAAACACCCAGTCTCCGCTTCTGATTTCAAAATCCTATCATCAGGCAATTCTGAGTGGGATCTTCTTTAGTTTGAAAGAACAAATGAATAGAAAGAAAGGAAAACAACTTATCAGTAACTAGTTAATAAGTAAAGATTAATGTTAAGTGCATGGTTAGTATAGTTAAGGTTAATATTAGCATTAAGGACAGGGTTAAGTTGAGATATTAAACCATATTTTGTAAATACGTATACCATACCTTGTAAATTCATTTAGATTGCTCTGAAGATGTTGTATTGTAAACAACGAAACGTTAGCTAATAAATTTGTTTGCTGTTAGGGAGTGGTCATTATTTATGGGGAGGGGGGGGGTTGGTGGGAAATGGGGAAATAAGGATTGAAAACATTTTGGCCCCCCCCCCCCTCCAGACTGAAGGCAAATTTTTGTGCCTCCCCCCTCATAAAAGTAGAAACTTGTCTGACCCCCCCAGTGTGGATTGAAAAAATTAACAGCAATGAAACAGGTGTGCGTTGCAGGTAAAATTAGATATTAGGACAATCTGTTTAATCTAGCTCATGATGTTTTATCCTGGTGAATGATGATTCAATCATATATGATTATAAAATATATATTATGTGTTACTACTTTGCCATGCAACATGTCCTACCATAACCCTAACCCATGACCCGTCTTCATACAGCGAAATGATTAGAACACAGGTTTTTTTTAAGAACTTGTCTGGGGGGTGGGCATCTACAAAAAGGGACCATACTATATTGAGTGTGGAGAGATGACAGATGGTTGTTTGTGACAAAAACTTTAGTGTGGTATCGTATGTACTAGTAGGGGGGGTCTGGGGGTATTCTCCCCCAGAAAATTTTTTGTATTTTCCACCCCTAGAACTGAAATGTGGGCATTATCGAATCTGATCAGTTAAGTGTACTGGCATGGTATGTACTATTTAAATACCACAACTGGGTCACTCAGGTGGTAAGAAAGCTTGTTAAACTTAGTGGGCCCGACTCCCACGATCGCGAGGCGCTACTATGGTTGGCGCCGAGCAGGGAAATTTTGAAAATTTTGACTCTCTAGATCGTTGGAAATAGCATTTTCAGAGTCTTCTTTTTTGCTATTTGTGATTATAGAAATCAGAACTCTAGACATGGTGTATCTGTGTTAAAACTTTTTTGACCCCCCTATTTATAAGGGTAAAACTTCGTTCCCCCCCTCCCATTTCCCAACACCTCATAAATAATGATCACTCCCTTATTCCAGTTGTTTATCGAGCTCAGTGCATTCAGGCTAAACCAATGGGCTAAACGCCCGCGGCGCAGGTCACATGTTGAATTGTTGTATTTACAATCTCGTTCCCAGAGTATGCCTGTTCGCGGGTTAGGTTGTGGCATGACTCTGGGGAAATCGAATTTTTTTTATCCAAAATGAGATAAATGACGCATGCGCTTTTATTGCTTTGGTTATTCCGCTTAGTAAATTCGCGCGGGCACACGCTCACAATCGATATTGTTTTGAACAAGATTCTCATCAGAATATAGTGTACAAAATGGTTTTTTATACGTTTAAAGATGCTTTAAATCGTCCTACTATTAAATTATATTCAATGGCAAATACTGAAAGGCTATGAAAGCTGTTCTAGGGAAAAGAGAGCTTGAATATTCGTTGAAAGACGAGACATTCAAATGTATAGCATCTCGGCCATAATTTGTAAAATGGTGAAGATGTTCTGGTTGTTTTGCCAACAGGTTATGGGCTTATTATGGCAAATATTAAAAGATTTCAGCTGCTACCTGACGTGTACGACGTGTTACTTGGCGTAACTAATTCTATCGTGATAGTCATCTCCACATGAATGACCAAGCATTTCTGCAATTCTGCATGCATGATAGTATGTCAAAGTCACAAGGCTATTCTGTGCTACACTATATTATGGTGATGGCAGCGATATCAAATTACCATTGGATCGAGATGAGAACCTGACGTATAAACTGTTCTATATGCACCCAGAAATGTGTGTCTATGACAAGAAAATACAAGCTTTTTTCAACTGTATACTGTAATACTGTAAACCTCTGAATATAATGCTCACCTCATTCCAAATATAAGCCCCCCCCCCCCAAGTCCCCTGAATATAAGCCCAGTATCCCACTATGTATTTAACATTGACATTGTCTTTTAATATAGCAGAGAATTTGAAACACTGTCATTGTCTTTATAGCTTACTATGTTAATGGAGTGTGTCATTAATACATGTTTATTTTCCTGTTTATGACTTGTTTATTACTAACACAATTGATTGTCCATGTATAAGACCCCCGTGCATATAAGCCCCCTCCCCTAAGCCCATGAAAAATCGCTTACAAAAGAATATAAGCCCAGGGATTGTAGTCAGAGGTTTACAGTATTATATATCACATATTTTAACAATAAACACATTATTTTTTATATTATATTACATTAACATATATACATGGACCACATATAAAGTCTTTAAATGACAGTACATTGTGTTTGTAATTATAATTACTATAATTACTTGTGTCGAAAGTAAGAAATGAAGTGAAAAAATCCATATTATTTGTTGAAAATTTCTTGCAGTAGGTATCTATCCATTGTTTTTCATGCTTCACACTGTGTATCTTTGAACATCCAATCAGAAACTAATTATAGGCAAGGAATAAGGATATATTTCTAGCTCATTTCTCTATATTACCAGGTACATAACATGCAATACATCAACCTTGCAATACATCAACCTTGCAATCCATGCTTTAACCCCTGCAGTTGCCCCCTCTCCTGCAGCACGTTTGGGAAGTGAGAGGAAGAGACAGATTTTCGTTCAGGGGGGTGCTGCTGCTTGCTTTGGCCGGGCGCCCGGAAAGGCCAAGGAAAAGTTTAACAAAATTTGTTTTCTAGGCCTGCACGGTGAGATCTGAGACCATAATATTGGTAATTTTACAAATTTAGTAGTAAGAATAATCAAATATGACAACCTTGTTCCCAGGGCTTTTCCCTTTTTGTCAATATGAAACTATCAAATCAAAATATATACAATTTGCGGGGGTGCAAAAACTTTTGGGGGTGGTGCCAAATGCCACTGGGGGTGGGTGCAAATCATTTCTGGGGTGTGTGCACCCCCCCCCCCAGAAAATCTGTGCCTGGAGAGGAAGGAATGGAGGTACAACTGTAATTTCTATATTTAGCCCCCTTCTCTTCAAGCCCCTCTCCAATAACCCCCCTCCTCATTTGGATACAAAAATAAATAAGCATGCCCCCCCCCTCATTTGGAAAAAAAAATAAAAATAAATAAGCCCCCCTCCTCTTTTAACCATGCAGCCCTCATTCAATTAATTCTTAAAATCATGAAATATTTTGCATTTCTGCAGTATTTTAATAAAATATAGTACAACGGTAACTCTGAATATGGACATTTTTAATGGTAACCAGACTTATTGCATATATTTAGAACAAGTGCCCCCTCAATGATGTTTAGCAAACAATAATACCCAGGAGGCTTGATACAGAAATTAAAGTAGTTATTCAATTGAAACTGGTTAACTGGTAGCTATTTCAATTCTACTGTATCTCCTTTTATATATAATTGGATTAATTGCCAATATATTCACATAGTATAATAGTTAGGAAATGGAATCAATACTTGTATATTTTTAGCAAATGAGCATTGTTATTGATCAAACAACATTGTTTCACAATAATAGCAACAAACAAGGAAACATCTGTATTTAGATTCACTACTTATTTTTTATCCAGACACAAATTGATGCAAAAATTGTTTCTGGTTTGGTTTAGTTATATAGCCTTACATCAGGCTATTCATTTAATATCCGTATTCCATTTAATATACCTTGACAGGGGGCCCTGTTGAGGATCCCTGGAATTCTTCAGGGGTAAAGGGTTTTGAGCTTGGAATTCTTCAAGGGTAAAGTGTTTTGAGCTTGGGATTCTTCAGGGGTAAAGTATTTCGAGTTTGGAATTCTTCCAGGGTAAAGGGTTTTGAGCTTGGAATTCTCCAGGGGTAAAGGGTTTTGAGCTTGGAATTTTGAAATTCTTCAGGCCTATAACCATGAAAAACATATACCTTTGGCAGCTAGGGGGTGTACAGATATTAATTGGAATAGTCCATCACACTGTCAAGTGGCAATCACTTACAAAGCAAGTCTATAACCAAATGTTTTACAACCTGAGGGACTTCTTAAGTCAATTATTCTATAATTTATACAGATGCTACAAAAACACCTGGCATCTTAAATTTATATAGATAACTCCATTTACAAAAACACAAAGACCACAGGCTACACCATGTTGAGCGTTGACTGACCATAAGGTAGTGTATTGTTTAAATCTTCAAGTTTTTAACACAAGCAAGAGCTGTCACTCCAAAGTCCAGGCAACAATATGTCAATTTAACAAAACAACGACAACGTGTGCGATGATTTATTTAGCCATTTCTTTCATGGTTATAACATAGTTGTTATAATGAATATATTCATACTGTAGATCGATAAAAAGTCATTCATAAATACCATGCAATTTTGTAAGTATATACCCAACGTCCCAATACTTTTTCATACGATTAATATTATATCCTTCGATTTATATTGTTTGATTTCGCATTCCAAATCTGATAAACATTGATAATTCTCTCTTCGCGTATGTCCACGCGTAATTCTCGCAAAAAACACGCATTAATTGTGTCGGCAGCATTGATGATCGCGGCAGCCAATCAAATAACGATTTCGATTCGATTTCCCCAGAGTCATGCCACAACCTAACCCGCGAACAGGCATACTCTGGGAACGAGATTGTTGTATTTATTGATCTTGATGATTCACAGTGAATGATGAGTATTAAAATATAGGAAAAAAAGTATTTTAGAATTACTGTTTTAGTAATCACTATCCATTTCAATACTAGTTTTTTACGATGTATGTCTGGAAGAAATCCAAAAGACACTTTATATGAACAGAAGTAAGGAAATGAATGTGTAATGGCTCCAATACGCGAAGGCGAAGAGACGTTGGCCGCGCCGTTGCATCGACGAAACAAATTATGTTTGACATGAACGGCAATCTTGAGTCAATGATTGCTTTGCTGACAAAGCTTATATGGTAAGAAGTGATTTACTATTTTGTTTTATATTTCATTCTGAAAATAGCTCACCAAACCAACGTTTTAGTTGAGAGAAATCCTGGTTCAATTTTCACTGTGTCAAAATTTTCATGTGTGCCCAGCACGAGGCCCAGCAGTCATTAGTATTCAGAATCTCGTTCAGAATAAAAATAGTTCATGTAATCTTGCTAGTTATTTTATAGTAAAAATTATCGTAATATCAAAATAGAAAAATTGTCCCTGGAAGCGGGATGAAATTTTCTCAATAAACACAAGAGAAATTCATCCCAATTTCCCGGCTGTCTCGCTATAAAGCAGGCTGGCTTGGCTTCCATATAAACAGACCCTTAGTAATATAATTTACTGTCGTTCCAATTGAAGTGTTGCTCAAATATTGATTCAATACATTACTTCGGGCTGACCAATTTATTTGATCAAGTTCCTCGAGATATTCATACACTTCCTGTGAAAGAGCCAATTCCGAGTATTTGATCATTTCTGGTCACTTCCTTTCTATTTATGATTGGTTAGTTGCACAAACAACAAAGGTGATTGGTGCATTCAAACTATTCAACAGGAAGTTTACAATTATACTAGGAAGTGTATGAATATATCGAGGAACTTGATGAATTGAATTGGTCAGCCCGAGGTAATCTATTGAATCAATATTTGAGCAACACTTCAGTTGGAACGACAGTAAGGGTTTATATTTTGCGATGAATTTCAACGAGCTTGTTAGTAGCTTAGCGGCTCTGAGTTGTAATTCACTCTCCTCAACATTTAAGGGTTCATTGGTTTGGGCTGAGTGTTATGATTGGGACAGTTTTGTTTTACCTCTGTGAAACACATGACCAACCGTGGCTCATGAATTTGATACGAAGTTCAATGTTTGCACAGACCTGCCTTTTAATATCTGAAGATTGTAAAATAAGTATAGACATTAGGAGAACTGGAGCTGGTTGATCAAATCATGATTAGCTGGTGACCCGAGCTTCAAAATGGCATACTTGAATAAAATGTTAAAATGAACAATCGAGAAAATTGTTGTTGCCAGGATTATATGAAATTGAAACAGTTAATGTAAGTTGGCTTTTAACGTTCTAGCATTCAATACCGATGTTTGTATTTTAAATTTTTGTTTGTTAATCTCGCTTTGCTCAGTAGACACCAAAGCCATTTGGATATCGACTTTCCATTGGGTATCAATTGTCGTTCACCTCCAAATCATGGCATAACTGATATTATACTTTATTATAATGCAGCTAGGATTTATAATCTGAGTTGAGCAATCTTGTATTAAAACATTTTAAGGCCCTTTGTTGCTTTAATGGGAACCCTTTTGAACTGGGAGCTCTGGGCAAAGTGTCTGTCTCCCCCCTTTCTGTAGCCCAGGGTAGGAGTGCAGCAGAACTTGGTTACGGCTGTTTAGTTCCGGCTGGAACCCCAATTTTTCAGAGTTCCAGTTCCAGCCGGAACTAATAAAAAAGCATCTCCGGAACCGGAACTCTGTTTTAGGTCTTCTTAAAAGCCTTGACAATTGTTGGTGGATGTGCAGTGCAAAATATGGGATTGTAGTTTGTTCATAGTGACAATAATGAGCCTAAAACCCTAGTCGAACTAAAAGCATCTCATTTTGCCATTTTGGTAAATATTATACGGCATTTTCCGAAGCGCATCAAGAGTGGACCGAACCCACCACAAAAGGACAGTAACCTAACCCACCCTTGGACCCTCCTAATTGCGATTCTTGATTGCGCTACATTGGGATTTGTATGTAATGGAACTGCTAGATTTAGCAATTATTTAACAATCAATCTGCTTCAATATAGATAAAAGATCTGAATAAGGAACTGAAGAGTTGAACACAAGCAAATGGGGGTTATTATTATCATCGTATATTGGTTGTTGAGATTCAATGATTGCCGTAATTGGTGTACAGTGTGCTCCATCCTGGGATCACAGGTGAGCTTAACGACCAACAGTACTTTATATTTTTTAATAAGTAAATCCAAATATGATATTTAACAACATATATAAAGTTATATCAACTGGTCAGGGCTCGGAATAACGGCCGATCAATGATCGGCAGGAAATTGTTTTTGATCGGCGAAGAAGCAACGTTGCCGTTCATCTTGATTGGCCAAGAAATATATTTGACCAAATGTTGTCTGAGAGACATGCTTACAGCTAGTACCTGTACACGGTGAAAGACAAATAAAAATCATATAAAACACATTAAAAAAAAACAGGCGAAAAACTCTTGTTTAGTTGATACAAGTCATAGTCATAGTGTCATACGACAGGAAAGGCCGCAATGATGAAGTATTGTCGTCTCTTCAACAGTCTGCAATCCGAACCGCCGACGAAGAAAGACTTTGTCAAATTGATAGGATTTTTTGAGTAGTATTTTTTTAGTAGGATTTTCTCTTTTACTATTAAATAATAAGTTTTAGTTCTTAATTGATAATGCTGCTGTATTTCTTGCTTTTGTGTGTAAAATGCAACACTATAATTAAAACTTGAAAAGTGTTATAATATAAACTAAAGTTTATTACTGTCATACATGTTAAATGTAGTTACACTATCAGTATTGTATACAGCTATTTCAATTAAGGTTGTCCCCGAGCAAAGTGGAAAAGTCAAATACGAGGGCGAAAGGCTGCTGGGAAATGCCACAAAAATATGATTAAATTTTTCTGCTTTGCTTCGGGAAACCTTAATTGAAATACCTGTATTTAAGTCCACAAATGTCATAGAATTAATTATTTAAACTCAAATTTGAAATGATTGGCATATTTAGAATTTTTTCAAGGAAATGAGGGCAAATGCTTCTGATCGGCCAAATTTTTATTTGATCGGCAAAAAGGCTGGATTGCCGATCACTGTGATCGCCAACGTTGGGAACGTTATTTCGAGCCCTGATCAACATGAGTGGAAATTGGAAAAACGAGAAATTGTGTGAAATGCCTGGAGGGTGGAGTGTTGTCACCCAATTTCGAGTTTTCCCAATTTCCATGAGTGTTGATATAATTGTATATCAATACAAGAACATGAAACATTTTTTATTTTTTTATAATGTGCAGTAGCACAAATTTCTGGAATACGCTTTTGAATTTAAAGTCGCAGCGGGAAATTTTCCATGTTGACATTGAGTTACGTCAACACAGCTTTTAGCGGGTCAGTGTTCAGAATTTACAAATGCTATATTATAATTAAGAAACCGAACACATTTTCATTGTCTCTACACTGTATGTTATAGAAATACATGTGGGAGTTTTGGAGAACGAATTAATGGGCCATTTAGAATAAATTTTGATCGAAACAAGTCTAGACAAAAATTACATCACAACTTGAAAGAGCATCACAAAATTAGTAATATTCCAAAGTTTCGTTAATTGCGAAATGTTGTAAAATGCGGATAATATAGCCTTGCGAAGTTTGCCGTTTTTCAGTCATTTTGTATTACAAACGGGAAATTGACAGCTCCAAAGGGTATTGGGCTGTCAATTTCCCCCACATAATACAAACTAACTGAAAAACGGCAAACTTCGCAAGGCTATATTATCCACATTTTACAACATTTTGCAACGAAACTTTGGAATATTACTAATTTTGTGATGCTCTTTCAAGCTGTGATGAAATTTTTGTCTCGACTTGTTTAGATAAAAATTTAGTCTATAACGCAAATGGTCCATTGGCTAGTTTTTCCACATCATTTGAATTTTCCCAAAGTACCATTAGTGTTTTTATGTTTTTATGAAATCTTTTTTATTTCATTTATACTGTAATGTTAAACACAAAAAAGATTTATAGCTTTTTTTATATCAATTAATTTACAAATTCTCATTACCTCAGCATGAAGTCCACTTTATTGGTTCCTGGCCTTAAACTGTGTTTATCCTAATCCACCCTGTCAACTTTCCCTGTGCTGGGGAGGCAACCGGAGCACCTGGAGAAAACCCATTACTTTTGGCAGAGCATTGACTGACTCTTTTCACATGAGTTCATAGTGAGAATCAAACCCACAAACTCGAGGTGAAAGGCGCTTCACCGCCCTTGCACTGACGAGTACGCCACCGAAGCCCCTTCCCACTACAATGGGAGTTGTACGCAATGGAACTACTACTAGATTTAACAATAAATCTACTTCAATATAGATAAAAGATCTGAATAAGAAACTGAAGAATTGAACGCAAGCAAATGGGTGTTATTATTATCATCATATATTGGTTGTTGAGCTTCAATGATTGCCGTAATTGCTGTACTTCATCCTAGGAACACAGGTGAGTTTAACGACCAACAGTACTTTATATTTTAATAAGTAAATCCAAATATGATATTTAAGACATTTTCCATATTTCTATACAGTTATAGAAATACACATGGGAGTTTGGGAGAATAGAAGAATTAAGTGGCTAGTTTTTCCATATTATTCGAATTATTCTGTATACAACTCAAGAAAAGTTTTTATAACTTAAACAATATCGATTAATTTACAAATTCTCATTACCTCAGCATGAAGTCCACTTTATTGGAACCTACGACCGAAAACTAGCCCAAAGGTCGTAGGTTCAATCCAAAGGTTGTAGGTTCGATTCCCACCGTGGCCGGGCATATTTTTCAAGCTCGCCCGGTGTGGATATGCACTCAGAGTAACACCACAAACATCATATTCACCTGAGTACACAACACCAACGCAGAAAAAAAACTGATGATATATGGCAAGCATTGGAGGAATCAACATTACACTTTAATAATTACTGCTTTTGTATGAGCATGAATACGTCGATGAACGTTTCATTGACTGCTATAAGTACACAACATTGATTTCAGGAAGGGTACCGCTTGGAAATTGTAGGGTTTTAGCAGGGCCTGGAAGAGGTGGTCAGTGGCGAAACTTTCCAAGAGGGCCCCTATGATGTCATAATTGTAATGGGGAGAAGCGGTGTTTTACGATGTATTATACTTAATTCTTATTAATAATTAGTATTTATATATATATATATATATATATATATATATATATATATATATATATATATATATATATATATATATATATATATATATATATATATATTAGTATTTTAATTAGTTTCATATAAATAGAAGGAAATATTATTGTAAAAAACATTCCACTGAAGAAGCCGTAAAAGGCGAAACGTTTGGAAAATATACTTTGTGTATTTTTATGTCTGAAGAAATCTTATAGCCAAGTTCATACACTATCCACTATACATATATATATATATATATATATATATATATATATATATATATATATATATATATATATATATATATATATATATATATATATATATATATATATATATATATATATATATATATATATATATATACGGTATATATGTATATATATAAATATATATATATATAAATATATGTATATATATATATAAATCTATCACTGAGCCAACTTTCTCTAGAGCCCAACATTTATATAAATCAATCAATGATACATCAGAGCTCGTATAACAACTTTTTATTACGTTTCGGGGCAAGCCCCTTCTTCAGATTACATGTCTGATACATGTCTGATTACATCAGATTACATGTCTGATTACATGTCTGATTACATCAAACCGACTGATACACATCAATACTTAGACTTCAAGTCTTGTCATCCTGCACATGTGAAGAAGGCAATCCCCTATGGTCAGGCGCTAAGATTAAAACGGATTTGTAGTTCGGAAAAAGTTTTTCAGGATAGGCTTAAAGAAATGGAAGGTCATTTTATAAAGCGAGGATTTAACAAAAAGTTGGTTAAGGATCAGTTTTCTGAGGTTAAAGTTAAGGATAGGGCTGAAATGTTACGCCAAACGGATAAGAGGAAGAATTCTAAAGGCCCATTTACACGATACGATTAGTTGTATACGATTGTCATTCTGACGAATGAAAACGAGTGCTAATGCCACGTTATTGCTCATTCGCTAATGGCGAAATTTGAAATGTGACGTTTGTACGCGTGTTTATTCGATCACATACGCCAGGGTACGAATCGTATACAACTAATCGTACCGTGTAAATGGGCCTTAACTTGAGTAAGAGTACCACTGGTAGTAGAATTTCATCCGGCATTAAAGGAAATTAATGGAATTGTGGAAACACTTTGGCCGATTCTGGAGACATCGGAGTGGATGAGGGATGTCTTCGGTAGTAGGCCGATTGTTTCATATAAGATACCAAAAAATTTAAAAGATAGTTTGGTTAGATCTAAGGTTAAAAAGGCTAAGGAGGTAAGTGTAGGGATGAGTAAGTGTAATAAGAGTCGTTGTAATTCGAGTAAGTGTAATAAGAGATTTGTAATTATGTAGATGAGGGGAAAGAATTTCTCGAGGGAAAAGTAAAATACTACATTAATTACAACTTTGATTGCGATTCGGCTGGGGTGATTTATTTGATTTATTGTAGAAAATGTGGGAAAAAGTATGTGGGGAGTACAATTACCAGTTTTAGGAAACGTTTTAACAACCACAAAAGTAGCATGAATAGATATGGGAGAGGTGAAAGGGGTATGGCAGGCGAGCATTTGTATGCTCATTTTTTTGATTAAGGTCATAATGGTATGCAAGATGTGAAAGTTAAAATTATTGATAAAACTAATGTTGCATGTCCCACACAAAGAGAAGGTTTTTGGGCATATAAACTGAATTCGTTTGAACCGCATGGGTTGAATTTAAAAGACTTTGTTTGAACAATAGAGTTAATCAAGCGAATTATTATAATTAGGGTATGGACAGTTTAAATTGTTGAAATCAAGTGTACACATGTAATCTGAAGAAGGGGCTTGCCCCGAAACGTAATAAAAAGTTGTTATACGAGCTCTGATGTATATATATATATATGCCTATATATGTATATATATATGCCTGTGGACAGGTAGGTCGGTATATATAGGTCGATATGCATATGCCCGTGGACAGGTAGGACATGGTAGGTCGTATAATATTTGTAAGTCTCTCACGTGTACTTCGCAGAATGTCGTTTATCTTGCCCATTGTGTGGCTTGTGATTTGCAATGAGTCTACTCCACCTTGCCCTAGGCAAGTGGGCAAGTGTTAAGTTACACCTCTGTTACCAATATCAGAATTTTTTTCTAAATATCACTGTTATCACATAGGTGGTACTTACATCAATCTATTTTGTGAATTTCAGGATCACGGAGTTCGAAACGAGGACTTTCCGACATTTGATTGCGAACTCAAGATTAGGATGGCAACAATGCACACTGAGGTTTGAACTTACTTGAGGTACAAGATTTTTACTTCTCTTCTGATAGTTCACATGCAATGTTAAAAATATCGTGTCCATTTGCCAAAAAGCTGCATATTGATGCTAGGTAAACTGTTGTGTTTTTGAGTGTGTATGAGTGGTCTGTCTTTGTGTTGTCGATTGTCCATTTTTTCTTCTGTGGTTACGTCTTGCACTGTATTGTATTGTATTGTATTGTTTTGTATTGTATTGTATTGTATAGACCTTATTCATAAATCGTGATGAGGCCTCGTATCCTAGGAAACGGGGAAAAACCGCGGGAAAATTGACAAACTGTTTTTTTGCAGTCGGCTATGGCAGCTTTTTTCCTGAATATTACGGCTTTTTTCGAAAATAATAGCTATAAAACTGAGCTTGAAAGTTGAAAAAAATACTTCTGAGAAAATATAACATGATATTTAAAGCAAAAGATGCTGGAGTCAATCGAAAACGGAAACCTTTGACTTTGTATTATTGTCGTAGTTTGTATGGCCAAAACAACCAACCAACAAGGCTACAAAACGTCTATACAACACCAAAATCGTAAGAAATATGAAACTATTGTTGAAGAAATAGGATTACAACTCACTCAGGTAATGTAGCCTTCATTTTTTAAACTTGTAAGCTGCTTGCAGAATGTTATCGAGCCACAGCCATAGTTCATATTCCCCCGTACGAATCAATAACATTTGACGTTCTCTTGTGATTTTTGACCTATTGTTTTCTTTTATATTAATGTCAAATTCGAAAAATTATACTTTCATTCCATAGCTGTCTTGATTTTTCACGGAATAACCTTTATATTGACGTTAAAATCTCAGTAAAATACTGTTTTCCACTTCTGGATAAACACCATCGCTATACGTTGTCATTTTTTCCACACTAAAACGCGAGAAAAACCGGTCGCTTTTATAATATACTCCTTTTCCGCTTTCGTTGTGGGAACAAAGTCTTAAAATACACACAAAAATCGTTATAAATCGCAAAAAGCAACAAGAAACAAGCCGTTAAAGTCGACACAATAGCATCTGAATTTGGCTTGACAAGCAGTTTTCGCTTGTTTTCCCGCGTTTTGTTCCCGTATCCTAGGATACGAGGCCTCGTCACGATTTATGAATAAGGTCTATTGTTTTGTTCATGCTGGTGTTTCACATCCGTCTCTTCACTTGGTTACAGCATTGCTGAGTTCAATTGACAGTTTTTACGCCTATAGTTGTAGCTATTTTAAACCGGAAAAATCACTTGAAGAATATATCCTGCATGTTTTAAGTACTTGAGTGATTTATGTTTGAAGCGGATCATAAAACTATAAAATAAATATTCAAGGTTTTAAGTTGGTCATATTAAAAAAGGATTCAAACAAACCTCATCAAAAACGGATATATTTAGACAACATACAGTCTGTTTTGTGCGTTTATTGCAGATGAAAACATTACCCGCGACATCAGTTAATTTATTGTGGCTGAAAAAGATCAAGACGTGAAAAATGAGTTTTCAGAGCTTTCAAAATCAACATTTTGCAAGCATGAAAAACCAGTTACTTTTTTATAGGTTAAGATTTTTATAGGTTACGATTGGTAAGATTTCAATTCGAAATGGGGGGCGTATTAACTATATACTGTGAAGGCCGTATTAGCTAGATACAATATTTAAGGGTATAACAAAGTACGTTACTGCTATTTACAGATGGGTTTACCAGCGATTAACACATTTACAATTTAGTAAATATTTACAATTGTTAAATATTATTGTTAATTCAAAGTGGTTAGTATAGTGTTAAAAGCTTGTTATGGAAGGTTTACAAAGTTTGTGTTAGATATTAGTAATTTTTAAGATAAAAGCATCGCAAGTTGCTTACATTCACTATCTATAAGGCATTTAAAAGAGTCAAAGCTAATAATCATAAAGAATTGTTTTAGTAATGCAGCGTATAGTAACAGTAGCAAATGGGAAGACATTTCGTTTTGGTCCGGAATTGAATAGCGCTAGTACCACTCGGATGAGAGGCAGCACAGTTAGTGATTAAATGAATCCTATTTTCTGTCGTCAGTTTGCTATAGAGATTGTCAATCTCAGAGTGTAATGAATTTATTTCACGGTCAGATTCTTGTTTTTGGAGTTTAGTTCAGTGAGGGTATTTAATGCAGTGGTGTTACCTGGTACAACATATAAAAAGTATGATTCACTCAACAGACACTCCAGGGTATGGGTAACCTGAAGTTCAGGCCCTATCACAGAATAGGGCCTGACACAAAACCTATCTAAAGTGTGGGATTCCCGTCCACCTGGTGGACGGGAAATCTGATTGGTTGATCAGC